AGACCAATAACTTCAACTTTCTTAAGAAAATGATCCGTGGAAAGGAAAGAACTGTGGAAGACTTGAGAATCCAGATAACTGTGGTAGCTATCACCCATCTAATTGTCATTAAATCCTTTTCTCCCTGAAAAGGCAGTAATGAATAGCTCTACAGCATTTAGTGATGACAGAGGTCAAACTGGATGCACATCAACTTACTTGTGTAACAGAAAGCAATTTGTGTGAAACAAGTAACCAACAGGCAGTTACGTATGTCAACCCTATGTTCCGTCTTCCAACCTACACTGAAAGACCCCTCTACTACCTTTTCTGGTGGTATCTGGAGCTCCAAATATCTGGGCAAACTCAGGGCTAGTACAGGTCTACCTACACTCAGTCAGTCTGACTGGAACAAGCACAAAATCCATCAGCAACTATTCTCCAGCTTGTTTCTCCATAAGCAGGGTGCTGATGTCTTGAACACAGGCCTAGTGACAGTCAAGAAAGTGGATAAAAAAACACTCCATCTTAGAAATGCTTCTGGTTGGTTTCTGTGTTATCTGGACTGGTTGGAAGACAAAGGGAGTCACTGGAACCCTGTCCTCCATCAGTAACAAGACTTCATTCAACAGATAATCTGCTTGAAAAGCAAAAGAGCATTTGATCTCATTTCAGCACTGATAGAAAGAAATAAGGACAGAAACTCATGGGAATGGTGATAGTCACATATGAGAGATTGGTTTTAAAACTTGTAACATAGGATATCTCTGGCAGAAAGAAGCAGTAAGCCCTATCTCAAATGCAACGGGTTAGATCTGTTGTCCCACAAAGGAACATGAGAGAGGCATCACATTTGCAGATGCACCTCGGCGTCACCACTGGATGGCAAAGCATGGTAACGTGGGCTACATTCAAAGCATGCAAAATGGAAGGAAAACACCTGACACCCTGCCTCTCCAGACTGAGAAACCTTGGTATACCCTGTTACAGCAAAGTAAGTTCTTTGCAGTTCAAATACTTCCTAGAGGGACACACTCCAAAGGCATAAACAGTCTGGAGGAGGCAAGATCTACAAATCACTGCCAGTCAACCTCGAAAAAATGTTGTCATTGCTTCTCTGTGGAGGAGTAAAATGATAAAAGAAATTTCTTTTATGTATGGGTGGCTCAACAATAATGCTATTTTAACATCATTTTCTTGTAACCCATCTACACACAACTACTTAAACATTTGTTATAAAGTATGGATGGGGTGACTCATCCAGCTGAAGAATACGCCTAATTGGTCAAACATCCAGGACACTGTGTGCTGAGCTATAGAGAATCAGAATCTCATCTATTAGGAGATGTGACAAGTTGCAGAAGCTATCTAAAATTCCTGGAAGAGGTAGTGTGAAATAAGAACCGTTGCCTAGGGACAGTCTCTTCTTTACGGTAATTAAAGAGCACAGATCTGTGCTATTCTGGATGGATGAAAAATACGCATGCATAAGCTTAAATTCTGGCTTTGGCTTGCTCAGGCGAGAAAGTCGTCTAATAATTCATTAGCCTCTTCAATAAAAGATACCTAAAAGGCGGACTAAAGGGCATCTGTGGATTTAACTGCCATGTTCCTATGGTCCCAAAATTTCCCCCCGAGATCCTGCTCTCCTGTATAATGCAGCTACATGACTCAGAAAAAAAAAAAAAAAGAACTTGAGAAGATCTTCCTTCTTCCCTGAGCACAATCCCACACTAAGCAACCAGAAGTGGAGAGGAAAGAAAAGCATTTCACAGACTGAAACAGAAATGTTAAAAACCCTTCCAGAGGGGTTATTAGTGGGTGGGGAGCACAGTCATAAATACGGAGTCCAGCAGCATTTTTCCACACACGCTCATTAACGATATTCACTTTGCCATATTTCTGTTTGAACTGACGATAATTCTACCATTTCAGTGAAAAATAAAATACAAAGCATCTCACTTTGTACTCTCCAGGACGCCGGAGTAGTGCAGTCCAGAGGCCCTCTTTCCCCAGCATAGAGGTACCACCTGCTGACACGCACTGCTCCTCATACACAGATTAGTAGAGCTGTAGTAGCAAAATGGCTCCCTATGAAACCCCTTGGATCCAAGCACTGCTGTGGACTCATGCTAGTTGGGCATGCTTTTTCCATACAGCTCTCACATATTTGGAGTGCACTGAACCAATGGAACACCTACCCTCGGATGGACTAGTGGCCTTTCCTTCCATCATTTCTCTTGCAGAAACCAGCGGGGTGATTTACTCGTTTCTGCCAGTGTGTAGCTACCAACAGCCTGGCTCAAGTACAGATGAATAATCTTAATCAGCATGTTAGCAAGAAGTTGTGGATGATATTTCCCACGCACCACATACTGGAAGGCTATACAAAGCAAGGAACCAGCCAGCAAAAGAAAATACAATGATGTCATTCATATTACCTTTTTTTTTTTTTAATTTTTAAAAGTGTAGCCAAACCGAGATAATAAAAGTTAAGTATTTACTATGATTTCCTCTTACAAAAAACAAATGTAAAATTATTTCATCAGTACCAGATAATAGGCCTGCTTATAACCAGAGGGCAGTATTTTTAATAACTTCACTAAAAATATGCACTGGTACAAAAATGTGGTGCAATAAAAAAAAAGTACAAAAGGTAATGAAATATTACCTATTATCTCAGCTCATTTTTGTCAGGAAATAATACTACGAACTTAATTCAATACATGGAAGCCTTATGAAAAGCAGGCAGGGAGAAGCTTATAGTCTTATCCAGTATTAGACGAGGGGCTGAGTGATTAATAAGTTGACATTGAAGAGCAGAGAATGGAAATCACATGGAGGTTAGGGAAAGGAAATAGCTTCAAAATGAAACTGTCATGCTGCCAGGCTGCATAGGAAGGGGCAGAGCTCCCACAGCCATCCCCACCGCGCAGCACAGGGGATGCCAGCGCTGTGCACACCGCTGGAGCCCCCAGCTCCCCCGCGCCTGCTGTGTGTCAGCCTCCTGCACCAGGAGAGAACCACAGTGAAAATGGGAAGGGGGGAGGAATAATACTTCAAAAGGAGAGCTTTGAATGCAACGGCAAGTTGGGGGTTTGGAGAATGGAAAAAATAAGATTCTCTATAGAAAGAACAGATGAAATGAGATTTACCCATAGCAGCGGATGAGCTACATATCTAACTTACGGGCCTCCAGCATGCGTGGCATGTAAGGATGAGATGTTCTTCATTGCCTTTTTAAATAACAGGGCCAGATCTTTTGATGGGATTAAAGCTTGGTTTTACGCTGACCTTAACACTGTCCAGGGCTGCAGGATTAAGTTTTAAACACTCAGTGAAACACCGTTACTTACAATATGAACAATAATTCCATTTATTGCGGGTCACAAGCCAACTTATCACTTCCAGGAGACTCTACATTTACTGTTGTTTCTCAGGCATATTGGGTCTGGTTCTCATTTCTACGTTGTTCACACTGGAAAACGTCTGCTGTGGTTTCCAAGACTGGGGATTTAACTGTGGCTAATTCACTGTTTACTTTACTGGTGGTACCAACAGAGTCACTATTGGTGGTAAATAGGTACTACACACACACTGAGATCAGTGAAGAACTCAGTCAAAATCAACAGCATGTAAGTCCCTGGTAAGTAATTTTGACCAAAACATGTGATGTCCACTGAAAAAAAACCCCTAAGAAGCTACAAACATTTATTCACAGACCACTTAAGAATAAATTATGGCTTTAAAAATGGTGGATGAAAGCAAGAGAACTGTCATTGTGAAACACGTTAGGGAATTTCTGGAAAAAACAGACCCAGTGCCAATCTGTAGTGCTTCAGAAGGGAGTAGCTGAACATTCCTCCTTTCAATAAGTTGCATAAGCATTATCTGGAACTTTAGCAAGGATGAATGGTAACAATTTTTCCTGGATCACATCCCAACTTTCAAAGTGACAGTTTTCTTGTAAATTACTAGAAAATAATTATAATAAACATCTTTATTTCTTACAAAACTAAGAACAACTGGGCAAAATGAAAGACTCTTCAGTTAGTTTAGTGAATTGCTGTTATTTGTTGAGGATGATACCCTTTCACAAATCCTAGCTTTTCAAGGAGCAAGACTATAGCTGGGCACTGCCTACTCTGTTTTCTATGCAAATCATTGATATTTCCTCTGACTTTGGAAATGTAAAATCAGCTCTCACATTTTTATCACTCCCATGCTCTGTGGTTTAGGAAAAGCACCATATCATCTCAATGAAAAGGGAGAAAATACTAGCAGCTACATGCTTGGAGTCTAATTTTAGGAGGAACTGAGCCATTCTAATATGCTGCAGTCAACAGGAACTGAGGACACTCAATAAATAATTCATGAGTTTCTTTCCATGTTTGAGTAGAGCCTGTTGAAAATTTCTCAAGCAAACATTTTTCATCAGAAAATTCCAATTCCTGTGAACCAAAACTGCTTACAGGGCAGGATATGCATGGATACATGTCTAATATCTCTTTTTTTATCCAGTTTGAAATTGCTTTTAATCTATAATAATAAAATGATATAATAAAAAAATATTTTAAATATGGAAAGGGATTTTTTGACTACAAAAGAATTTTTAAAAGGCAAAACAAACTGTTTCCATTAATCTTCACTATAATTTTTCAATTCTTTTTAAACACAAATGTTTCAGGGAAAAAAAAGAGATTCAAACTTTCTTTACTTTCACATTGGGCTGGAAAATATTTTCATAACTTTCCCTGGGAGAAGGAAAACATTTCCTACTTTAGATGTAGTTATGAAGGTATTTTCATGCCTGTCCTAAAAAGAAAAAAAAAAAAAAAAGCCTTATACTCTTGCAGATAAACCTCTCTTTGACCCTAGTGATGAGTGGAGTGTTAAATTTGTTATGTCTTTACTGTCACTTTGATTCAGTTATTTTAAAATGAACAGCATTTGCATCAGAAGGCAGCAGAAAAACCGTTTCTTACCTTTAGTCTTTCTGTTACACCATCAGTGAAACTGACTGTGAATTCAGCAATTTTGGGCACTCTGAGTTTTCCTTTGTTCTTCTGGTCAGGCTGATATTCTGTTCTTGTTTTCACAATTACCTGGAAAATATCAACACTTTCAGGGTTTCTGCACACAGCACTTTTTTTTTTTCTGTTAGCTAAGCTTGTGTATATAAAACATCCCCTGGACGTACACAAGTATCTTAGAACCATAAATTAACTCAAACTCATCATACCCTCAGGAGCTAAGAGAGACAGATAAATAGCCAGGCCGATACACAAACCTAGGACAGTGAGCTTATCACACTGAGCCTTAAAATAGCTGACAGCAAAATGTTTGATAACCACTTTTGTTTAGGACTAGGCATATAATTTTTATATCATATTCAATGAGCAGAACACACAGAATAACAGCCCATCCTGAAGAAGAGCCTCATTTATTAAAAGCCCTGTCCTAACAAGTTCCACTGAAGCCAATTTAAATTTAGGCCATTTGCTGTATCCTTTATTCAAGCTCCACATTATCAATATTAATCTTATACTATCACCTTGGGTTTTTCCCAGAAGATCTCAGTGTCATTTGCTGACTAATCTAGTTCTTACTAATCCTATAAAAATGAGGTGTCTTACACCAATGGAAGAGCCGTAAGAGCCTTTTAGAAGGGTATGGTCAAATTACCAAAACTGCATTGTCAATCTACATTGAATTTATTTGAAACCTAGAATAACCCTAAATACTTTGGGTTACATGCACCCACTGCAAACACAGAAAAGGTAACGCCAACTGTTCCCAAAGGGGGGAAGCATCAGGGCTGTACTCTGAAATTAATAGCCCTTCAGAGGAGTGAGCGTATCCATCCCATTACACAAAAGAACCTTAACAGACTACTCATCCATGAGCCTATGCAGCTAAATAGCGTTGTAAGAGCATGCCAGCATAGCCACACTATGTTACTAGCTGGAAAACGTGAGAGAAGACAAAATGACCCTGTTTTTGGCACTGGCCAAGAGCTGTAGCTTATCACTGGAGAGGGGGGCTGGGGCTGTCAGCACACAGCACCACTGTGCATCTGCACAGGATTCCCAACCCTGGGACAAGGTCCACAAAGCACACAACAGTCTGGTGTGGTTTGCAAGGTTTGGATAGATTAAACACAAAAAACAGAACATCAAAGCTCTCGATCCCAGAGCCAACACTTCCACTTTTTGGTCTCCCATTCTGAATTGCAGGACTAGGCAGCCATCAGCCTTGCCAAGGTGAAAATTAAATACTCCAGGAGTGGTGACTGGTTCACGTGAGAGTGACAAGAGTGATCCTAAAGCTCCTTGTTAGAAACAAAAAGTCTTGAAGGATTGAAAAAGATTAAGTGATGCACAAGGCTGAGTTACCAGCTAATGAAGAACTTATTTCCAAATGAAGATAGCAAAGTCTGGTTTGGACCAGAGAAAACCCCAGGTATTTAATCCCCCTGCACGTAATGCCATGTGAAAATCAGAGTGAGAGAAAATCAGCGTGGAGCCATAAGCCAATTTTCTGGATTCAAATGCAAATCATTAAAGACTGATGAATATTTACACCCTTCAGTGAATCCCTCTCAATAATATTTATTACAGTAGCATTTGCAACATTAAGACTTGGGAAGAAGAGGGGATAAAAAGCCACCCAAATTTATTTGTATGAGCATTTTGGAACTCAGGATTTCTGATGACACAACGTAGGTGATGGGAAATGACACACCGGGACAAGCTGGATGCGGCGGGTTTGGGATGAACCCCAACCCTCCTCTGAATCAAACCCCACTGTGCTCTGAAATGCAGCCCAGGGCACTGCGGGCCCGGTAAAGCAGTGATCCCCCTCCAGCCAAGACAAACTGGTCCAGGTTAGCATTGAGTTACCAAGAAGCAATAAGCTCATTTTCTCACTCAAAAGGAGGGAAGTGCTCTCGGGACCCCACGCAGCCGGCTCCCAGCTTGCCAGCCCCCACACCTGCCTTCTCTAACCCCAGTACAGTAAATCACAGAATGTCAGCCATCAGCACCTGCCAACCAGCGGTCAGAAACTGCACTCATTCTCTTTTCAAACCTACTGGTCACAATGTCCAATTCTCCCAAATTCACGCTTCCTGCTTGATATAAATCTTAGCTGCAGACAAAATTTTTAAATACAGACAAATGCTTTTCCACAACTCTAACATTAGGTCTTAATGAAGGACCGTGAAGCCAGAATATAAGAAAAAAAACAAAAAAAAAAAAACCCCAAAAAATGAAAGCCTTACTTGTTTCTAGCTACAATTTAATTTTCTTCCACTCTTTGTCAATAAGAAATTTCTTACGGGTGTTTTTTAACTGTTGTTACATTCAGCCAGTATCCTATAAGCAGGAAAGTTCGAATTATGCTGTCTGCAGGGATGCAGCACGAGACTGAAAATAAACCCACACAGCCTGTCACAAGGCATCAGATTCAAGTCCAGTAGCAATGTCTACCACGTCTACAAATGAACAAGCTCGCTCAGTCCCCAGCCAGATCAGAAGCCACTTGAAACCCAATTTGCTGACTGTGCCAGCAGTGGGATGCACGTGAGAGGAGCCACAGTCATCCTGCTGGCCAGTGTTTTGCCTAGAAATTTGCAGAGCAATCAAAAAACTTCAGTAAAGGAGCTAAGCAGTACCTTTGCCAAATACCTTTTGGCATTGCAAAAGCCAAATATCTGCTCCCCAGGAGTATCTCTGTCAGACACCTGGTGGAATTACTCAGCAGAAGAAAGCCAGGGCAGTCAGCAGGGTCTCCTCTTTAAAGGAGAGCAGAGAAATAAAATGACAAAGGACCAACGGAAAGCTGCAAGCCTGTAGCGTGGGGGTAGCATTCAATATTGTGGCAGTAACGATAAAAATGCAATTTTGCTGAGGGCACTGGGTGCACATTTAGAAGAAAAGAGCTACCTCTTGTTCAGTCGCCTACAGGCTAAACAAACCAGCCCGAGCGCCGAGCCCACTTGGGCGGCAACGTTCGCCCCCTCTCCATCCAACAAGCTGCCGTCGGGCAGCCCAGGCAAAGCCTTCTGGAAACCGAGTTGTGTTCACCACACCCTTAGAGCCTCCTGCACTAGGGATACACCCAGCCAGGGCTACGCCGCAGCATCCAGAGCCAGGCGTGAGCACTGTCAGATGGTGATACACGCACACACACCAGTTTTTAGTGGAGCATTTGCTGCACCGGCAGCCCCCGTGCATGTGTCAGTTGTGTCTCTGAAACAAGCCTAAATGGGAGCTGCTCAAAACCCAGAACAACTTTTCTAAAGCACCAGGTATTAATCTAAGTGCAAATTTAGAAAATGAATAATTAATCTTGTAAAGATTTTTGTATATATTTTTAGCATTACTGGGTTTTGTTATGCTGGATGTTTGTTCTGTTTTCATTTTCCAGTTTTATTTGGTTTGGGTGGGAAAGGACATTTGCCTTGTCCTGTTCCCTGCCATCAATCCTTTGTCACCTTTTCTCCCCATTTTGTCACTGAGAAAAAATTCCTGGCAGTAAAGTCTTCCAGAAATTCTAACCAAATTGCTGTTGGATGTACAGTAATAAAACCCCCACTGACTCCACAGCCACCGCAATGATCAGCATTCATTTATCACCGCCTGCCCCAGAGCAGTTCCATCAGAGCCCAGGATCCCACTGTTTCGATGCAAACAAGGTACATTCATCTCACACCACGACAGGTTTCCTGGGAGAGCTAGTGGCGTTTATTACAAGCCACAGCAAACAGAATGATCCCCATTCCCTCTTCTTGTCCGTTTTGCAGCTTTGCTGACTTCAGTAGCATTGTTATTGATTGAAACCAGTGAAAGGCAGTATAAAACTGAAGGCCTGTGTAGGCTGCAATTCAAAGCAAATTTAAGTGAAAGAAATGCCCATCTCCTCGTTCCCTTCTCTGCAATGCTGTTACGGTGGAAATAAACTGCTGTAAGGGGGTATTCCAGAGCTGGCAGTACCGCTTGGCCGTGCCCCGGCCTCACGCAACCGACAACAAACGCAAACGGTAAAACCGGTGCTTACATGGACAAGTAATCTCTTGAATACTCCCAAAAAAGACAGTTAGCCCCCTCCAACCTGACTGCAGTAACACCGTTCTGCCCATTCTCTGCACTTGCCTCCTTGAGCTCTCACCTCCCTAAGGCATAACTCATACTCCTCATGGAGAGAAGGGTCTGGCTCGTTTAGGTTGGCATCGTGAGCTTACTGCGGCACAGAATAATAACAGTTATATATATATTAATATTATTAATAATAATCTTATGAAGCAACCTGTACACCTGCAAATGAATATTAAGAAGCCAGAACAGTCCCATCAGCTTTTTGGACTGTCTGAGCCATTGCAATTGCCAGATAAATACCATTTGACCTTTTTTGGACACTTGTCAGCCTTTGTGTTCCATCATCTAGGCCCTGATCCAGCACCAGCTTATACTTGTGCCTCACTTTGGGCATTGTGATCATCCACCAAAGAGAGCAGTCTCCCTGCCAGCTCAGTCCAGCCTATCTGTGAGCAATTTAAAGCCAGTACTGTGGATGGAGTCTAGGAAAATACTAGCTCAGAGGACCTTACTGCAAATTATGTCGCTGCTGTAACCTGTTCTTAAAGCGTTCATACTATTTCTCAGAGACCCTCAATTCTGTTAACGACAGATGCAATGAAGGGAACACAACAAAATTACCTGGAATTTCCTCATTTTACATCCAAAATAAAACTGTTCTTTCAAAGTTGTTTCCTAGCTGAAGTTTGCAGACTGTAAGAATACAAGAAAAAGGGAAAAGAGCTTCCACAGAGCCACAAAATGACACGTCTAATTACAGGGATCCACACTGCCAGTCCTTGCAGCCTCCTCCAAAACTAAGTTTATCTCGCATTTGAACTCATTAACTTCCAACTCAGCGAAGCACTTAAGTATACAAGCAGTCCTATTAACACCAGCAGGATCAGCCAGATTAAAGTTAAGTGTGCATTTAAGCGCTTTGGCTAGATCAGAGCTTAAGCTGGCATCAGTCGCCTTCCCACAACCAGTTGCCATACCAGCGCTCGGGGGTCCCGTGCCACTCCTCA